TCAGGACGATAGATGTTTGATAGGAAAGAAGGAGGAGAGATCAGGACGACAGATGTTTGATAAGAAAGTAGGAGCAAACCACAACAGAGAAAGTCTAAGATTGTTTTCACAATAATTACTTGTATAGGTGTTTTGAAAGAATGTAATTTAAAGATTAAGCAGGCGTTGCAATTAATACTCATCAATGCTTCTCCTGTGAGAGCTCTCAGTCTATATGCCAGCATCGTGGCGAAATCAGGCACTCATGAAAACAATGAAATCAAAGAAACCATCAATTTTCTTCCTGTTTGGCAATTTTTATTGAATTTTAATTTTTCGGCTCAGCACCATTCATCCATTTTATTAAAAACACATTTATGTGTGTATTTAGTGGAAAATGTTGATAAAGGGCACACAAAATATATTTATAGTTTCCAAGGACTCTTAAGCTTAGGAAGTCAATAAACTATGGCAGCAATTTTCTCAACAATTTTAAGTCTGGCACCTACTTGTACTTCTTATTTTTAGTCAGAGTTTTACGGAACTTGCAGCACAAGGTCATAGAAGTGCCGAAGATTAGAGGTGTTACAAGAGAGTAACAAAGACAAAAAAGAAGGAGGAGAGATCCAGGATGATAGACGCTTGATAGGAAAGAAAAACAACAGCTTCTTCAATTCTAAATATGTTGCCTCTAATTGAAGACAGATGGATATTTTTTTCATCAAAAGAAAGACAAATGAACAAGCTTTAAGATGATACCAATAAGACCACATGCTCCTGATTCCATCGCGTTATGACACATATATAACTCCTATATGAGAACCCCCTCGGGCATGCACAATACTAATAGAGTTTACACCTGCATTCTGACATGCGGATAGAAGAAAACTATAGCAAAAGGATACCAGCATGGAAGGGAAGTGTAAAATTACAATGTTTGTAAAAGCGCATTCAAAGTGCAATAAAAAGATGTGTACACCACCTCTCTACGCACCATCAGCCTTGCAAGCAACATTTATAATGTGATATCTACAAAAGTGCAAGTCATACACCTCCCTTCCCCTCCCTCCAACTGACCAGGAACACCCCCCCCCCCCCCCAGCAATCAAATGAAGACAAAAGATCATCTAAATCCGTCCAATCTGGATCTATTATAGTGTCCTCAGACAGATTCTGTCTCAACTGACAGAAAAGGGGAGGTAATTCACAATTATTCTATCGCAATTCATTAGAGCATAAGTTTTTTCCAAAGGTGGTCATCAAAGACTCTGTATACTTCTAACATAATACTTGCCCCAAAGCGATACCATGAAAGTTACTTTTGAAAGTTCTTTGCAACATAGACTGAAAGTAACTGTCTCCAAATGCTTTCTCGTTTAGATCATCTTGGAAGGTGGGCTTCAAACCGGCCGGTCAGGGCCTACCCGGGTTGAGAGGGACACAACATCCCAGCTTGAAGTCTGAGATACTCCATAAAAATCCTCCCCACACAGGAACCAAACCTTTGACTTCTGCAGGCAACAGCAAAGCCTTTTAAACTGCTACACTAAGGCCATTGGCCTTTATGGCAAGTTGTAAAATGAAAAATGAAAACATACTATTTAAAATTTTTATTGTTACCTATAAGAGTTGTTTTAAATCACAAATATATTTACACTGAATTTTAATATTTTAACATTTTAGCATTTTAAAGTCAATTAGTTAACCAATCGTGGAGTGAACTTTTGCGAAAGTAAACAACTTGTGTTTCGCGCGCTCATATGACCTTAGCAGTTGCGAGCGCCGTAAAACCCTATACTACATACATGCATAAACTGCTACACTATAGATGCCACTCACTTTTTTAGAGTGGCATCAAATCAAAAAACTCTTTTTAAGTATAAACACTGGCCTAAGTCCAGTCCTATCATTTGCACTGCCGACCCAATAGGTATACACTTCGGCTTTCGATTTGACACACTCACGCAGCAGACAGACATCCTCTACCCTGGTGCATGAAGCTATGAGCATGAGCTTTCCTTTAGCGTGTAACCACTCCTGAGTGTAAAGGAAGCTAGAGGTGAATAACTTATAGAATGGTGTCTTCTGAAGCGCTTTAACAAAGGGATAAAAGAAATTAACTCTCCACCTTGACCAACTTAATGTGACTCCTTAAAAGTGTATTACAAGCAAACTCCGTTGTATATATGGTGGAATCTGCTTGAACCAAAAGCTACGAGGCTATCAGACTTTCTTCTGTCTCGCTGGGTTTTGAGTTTACAGAGGATGGTCAAATAGAGGAAAAACAAATCAGTGCTTTTCTTTATTTTTTCCTTTCGATTTCCCACTGTTTTGGATTAATCAAGCTCAATTTAAGAAGACTCCACAGCATGTACAATTGAACTAGCTCTTAATGGCCAATGGTATAAGACAATTACACCTGTAAAAAGAGCCATATCCAATTTCCCTAATAGAATTGTATTTTTTAAGACATTGTAACGATACTGTGTAAAACAGCCATTTTTCTTTTCGACAATGGGTGGCCATCTTAGACAACTTCGACTGTATTTTTCTCACCTAAGAACTCCTGAGAGCATCTTTGATCTTGCCAGGTGTAGTTATTGCTGCACGGCCGTCCCATGTCCAGAGTGGGGAACTGATCATCTCCAACAAGTTCTTTTCGCGCTCCCCACAAAACAACACCATGCATTTGTCCTGTGAGACCAATGCCTTAAAAAGGAAAGATGAAATTTTTTTTTATCAATATAGAAGAGAAATTACATAACTCCTGAGCATCTCAAATTTCACTTGGACTAGCTTAAACCACTACAAAGAGTAGGCTTACTGCTTGAAAGCATCAACTTTAATGTCTTTATAATGTAATTTGCATAATGGAGGATCACTGTTTCTTTTTACTGAGGAGATTACATTTTACCTGAAAACAATAGATGGATCGACATTCAGTTTTCCATTATCTGCCCAAAATAAGTCAGCGGCACATTTCTGTTCTGGACCTCTGGTTTCGAAGCGGCCGTTCCATTAAAAAAATGAAACTGCAGGGACACCTATAACATGGATGTTTGATAACTTGCTGAAAAGATTCTCAACAATGTTAGAGTCATTTTCTTTTTAGGGTTTTATTTAGTTAGAAGAAGGCTGTCTCTAAAAAACATAATGAATGGCTACCCCTGCTTCGAATTTTCATCAGCAAGTCATCTTCTCTGATTTACAAATGCCTGTGCAGTTTCTTTTTCCATGGAATGACCCAAAATCAGAAGAACAAATCACACTTAAAATATTACTGTCTCAATTGTTTTAGATGTAGTCAACATATCATTGGCCAGCTGTATAAAATGTACCAAGCCCCCAATTTTTTTATTGTTTTTTTATTGCAGTCTCTTGATCTCAGGTACAGTTGCATTTGTTCCAGAAATATTTTGTCAAAATTCAAATTGCAAATGTTGAAAAAAGCAAGAAGAGATACATGTAGGTTACAATGTTCAAAGAATGAAACAGTTTATTTTCCCATCCCCCGTTAAATTTTACTTTCTGGGCTTAGGTCATTTAACAGTTAGCTGTGATATAATAACATATATAGCATAATACAGTGACCTCGTACCTTCAACAGGACCAGCATGCTGCTGGAGTAATGGCACAACGACATCATTGACAGTCTCCAGTATTTTCCTAGAATTCTGTTCATTGCCGGAGCTTCCTATACTACTTTCAACCTGAGTGTCAGTAGCTTTAGAGGCAGTAGCAACAACTTTGCCCTCTGCATCAAGAAGGACAGCTTTCACCGAAGTAGTTCCAAGGTCAACGCCAAGCCATAAGCCCTGACGTGAAGCCAGACCGACACTGTCACCTTCTGAGGTTACTCCTACATGGCTCATTATGCTGAGAGTAGCTTAAATGGTTTCAAGTATTCTTTACAAATACAGTACAGCGGGAGTCTGTAGACAAAAAAAGTGGAAAAAAGGTTTTAACATTTTAATAGACTTTATAAAGATTAACAAAAAAAAGTACGAATTACTAAAATAAACTGTAACATATGTGCTGTCTTTTTAACTGTTACAAAATATTATATTTTAGGCCCTAGGCCTATATTATATGTCTCAAGAAACAAACATCCCCCCCCAGGCAGAGCTGTTAAAGTACTTTTAAAAAGGTACTTAAGTACAAATTTAAGTACAATCTAAAATATGTACTTAAGTACAGTAAAAGTACTTACCTGTAAAATGTACTTGAGTACAAGTACTTTTTTAAAAAGTACTTATGAGTACATTTTGAGTACTTTCTGCTAATATGCTAAAACACTTCAGTGCTAATGCAAAACATCATATTGAATAACATATCTAGAATATTTGACAAATTCGGCCATTTATTACTAATAATGTAAACAGTATACAAAGCATTTGAATATACATGTACGCACTGAACGTTGGTGGAAATTGTCCGTGAAATTGAAAAAAACAACCCAGCAAACGAACAGCCGCAACTAGTGAGTAAGTGATATTATGAATAGAATTTGTTTGAGCAAGACAATATGATCAAATATAAGTCAGTCCTAGAGGTCGGAAAGTAGGAAACGTATCAAAATTGGAAAATGCAGAGACAAAGTTGATCTAAGAAAATAAAAAAATGATGAAAATGGCCAGGAAAAAAAAAAGTGCTTTGAATTCTTCTTTAACAAATCCTCAAGGAATCAAGGTAGCCTTGAGCACAAACCACAAAAAAAAGGAAAAAAGAAATTTAGGTAGCCTAAAAAATTGTTAGATTGATATACATTGAGAACTCAGTTTCAGTTTCAATTGATTATAATAGTGGTAAGACAGAGTTTGGTCACACTGTGTAGTCCACGGCGCCCACGGCAAACCAAAATAGGCCTACATGTAATTTCCTAGAGTCTAGTAAGTTTAGTGTAACCAAAAATTCTCCACTACAGTAGTCTCCGCCTAAGATCCCAGTGCTCGGGAGAAAGGGAAATATGGGATCTTAGCCCGACGAACTAAGGAAGAATCTACAGAGACCCAAGAACTGACGTGACCCCTGGGTAGGTTTATGACATATGGCGAGCAAAGAGCGGTCATCCTTGATGACCAATCACAGTAGCACGGTGGCATGAGGCAAGCCATAATATTATACCGTACACTCATTAGCATATCGTCTCGAGATCTTTATCTACGTTTATCCAGTTGCCCCTCCCATTTACCTGTCCAAAAATTGTAGCCTTCCATCTCTGATTGAGTCCCCCCGCCTTTGTCGTTACGTACCATTACGCTGTGACCACACCAATTAAAATTCAGGCTGTCTCGCAATTTCGGGAATAGAGAAAAACTGCCTTCAACTTCAATGGTCAGGGAAGAGTTCACAGTTCGATGTGATCCTGCCTGGAGCGAACTTGTAGGCCCAACCCACCCAGCGAGGGATGAAAGTTCAGGTGGCGAGCTCAGATGCGAGTGCGATGTTTGGGGAAAAGAAACGCCCATCGGTCAGTTCACACCTCGGTGTGATCCCGTCAGGGGATCATTGTACCGTTTCATGGAGTTTTACAGCGCATGTGATCACTTTCACAAGAGTGGCTGATCTTTGACGCGACGGGCAGTTCTTTAATCTCAACTTTTAACTCTTGGTTGATCGGCTGTGCCCACCCGGGTGTTTGTTCCGTAAATTATGATCGGAAATGTCGGCACTTATTCTTTCATTAAGCTTCAAATGTACTCAAAATGTACTTGAAAAGTACTCAAAAGTACTTTTATAAAAAGTATCGGAGTACAGTAAAAGTACTGGTTCTCAAAATGTACCGGAGTACAGTAAAAGTACCGTAAATTGTAACGTAAGTACAAGTACCGGAGTACTTGTACTCCGTTACAACCAGCTCTGCCCCCAGGGCAGTGCAACTGACTGAAGTGTCTTTAGTCCCTAGAGGGGATATTAACATATTCTTTTGCACAGTAGAAATGTAAATGGGATCATTTATCAATGTCATGCTCATTCATACAACTGTGCCGGAACAACATAGGGGGATAACTATATACTGCTTTTTCTTTCCTCATATCCTTATTATTACTATCATCAATTTCCTCTACTTCTTTTGTATGTTTGTCACTTTCTTGTCAACTGCTATTTCCGGGGTGCCTTGATAGTCGAAGCAGACTTTAAATTGTGCTGTTGAGGCTAAAGAGGTGAGCAGAGTAAGCCTGATTCTCCGTTTTGGACTCTTTTTATTGAGATCCACCCCTTGGCGCTCATACGACCTCATGCAGTTGTGAGCACCGTAGAACCTTACTAAAAAAAAGAAAATAAACAAACATACATAAAGTAATCAGAATTTTTGATTGAACAAAATATGAAAGTTTTACTTGACACACGAGAGTGGCATCTTTAACTATTTTGCCCTCCTGTCTTCAAAAGTTCTCAACATTATTAATAGTGTTTCTTGAATGTATTTTGCACCTAACAATGAAGACAAAGTATTGTTGTCAACTTTCCTTGGAATTAAGTTTTTTAAAATGCTTTCCACATTTTAAATTAGCTATTACGCCTACAGCATTGATATGTTAGTTTAATGTTTAATCCAACATATTATATATTATATATAGTCCTAGCACACTGAGAAAGCTAATCCATTCTCAATAGATATCTACCGAATTAAATGATGAGCAGCTCAAAATTCAAGCCAAGGACGTCGAACCTCGTGCTGACCCTATCAAAAGGATTATAATACACGTGTAATATAATTATAATTAAAACAATTAAAAGTGAATAAAAGCAATGCTTAATGACGATATTATAATAGAGCGGGGGAGGTGGATATCAACGATTAAAATGGGCCTATTTTTACTGAGATTTCAATATGACTCAGAACTCTGAAAGCTTTCAAAGCTCACGCATTCAGTCAGAGAGGCTACAGTGCGTGCGCTCAAGCAAGACTCTCACTCACTCAAGGTCTTGTGCCTGGCTCAGCTCAACAGAATAAATATTATAATAACACCTCCCTGCACACTGCCTGTGAAGAAAAGAGAATGAAAAGGACGATATCAAGCAAATCAAATAGTTACGAAAAGAAAAGAATACAAAATTGTAGCATTACAAAAAAAAACATACAGTCTGTTTAACGATGCAAGCAATTCAGGACTTAATTTCATTTACCATCAAATGCATAGATCTAAGCTAAGCTGCTAGCACCGTGTCGTCTTCGGTGTGATCAAAGACCAATTATAAGCAAGCGAGCAGAAGAAATGAAGATAAGGCTAATCAATTCAATGATTGCTCCCTTTAATTTGACCCGGACATAAAACACAGTTGTCGTCCTTTGAAGGTTAAAGTTGCAGTCCATGCGTGTGTTTGGTTGTTGTCTCGTACAGAGCCGCAACATTATTACCTGTGTACAGCAGCACTTATCTACTTTTTATCATTAGAATGGCGAAAGCAGTCAAGTCAGCTCTTGCTGCTATCACAAAGATTGTCCCTGGTAATAGTGCAAGACTTTCCTGTATACCTAAACAGTCTGGAATTTCAGCGAGGTACCTGCTTGGCACGTCCGCGCTTTCCAGCCCCAACACAGTCGCAACTCCAAGGGCACACAGTACGTTGTCAACTTTGAGATCGAGACACACAAAAGGCACCTCATGCTCTTTTGCACACAAGCAGCCCATTGCATTTTACAGTACTGAAGGTAAGTTCTGTCAAATGAAAGGCGAAAGGCCTTTGCTATGCAGATTGCATCAGAATATGTTGAACTTGACAATGACATGATTGACATGAAGTATGAAGGAACAAGCCTAGAATTCTAGTAATCTAGATCTAGATCTAGATCTAGTGTACACAGCATCAGAATCAATTTGGGCGGAAGAAGGGCGCTTCACAATCACAGACAACGGAACCGAACAGTTCAGCAAGTTACAAAGAAAATATAATTTTATATACTAATTCGAGTCGGCAGGTCGTGTTGCCACCCTGCTGACTGACAGCAAAGTGAGAATCTCTCAATGACAATGACGTCAAACAAATTAAGATGGCTGTTACTATTATAAATATCGGCCAGTGGCGTACATCTGACGTTCTATAATTGTCCGCTTGTCAGAAAGAAAGTGGTGAGGGATGTTGACAGTGCAGCAGTCAGTGAGTAGTGAGAATGTTGTCTTGCACATTGTGTTTCTTTTTTAGGCCTTTTTGTGACATGATGCCAGTCTATCACTACCACCAGTGACTGTCATACAAAGTGCCTGTGCTATAGCAATTTATGCTAGTCGTACCCTTGCCTTAAAGTTTCGTTTTCTTCTTCTTTTCCCCTTCTCTTTGTTTTTTTCCAATACCCTCTTTTAATTCTACAATTTTAACTGATGATTCCATCCATGATTTTTTCAGGCTGTGGACAGAATTATTTTTCCCTGTTCAGTTTTTGACCGGGGGTGCACCTATTTAATGCATTACTCAACTGTGAAGCTTTATACACAAATATGTATTGTCATATATACCAAACCAATGGGAATCAATAGAGAAATCTGATTATATCAATTACAATGACGACCAATGTCTAATTCATCATAACCAACAAAGCCTCCAAAATCACACTACCGAACTCAACAACACCTGTGAGAAATTCAACATGGCACATCAAAAACAGAAGTATGAATGTGAGCCGAAACCATAGTCCCCTGAACATCCATGTCAATAGTAAACAACTGAAACCGGTGAGAGAGTTTAAATATCTTGGCAGCACTCTTTCTGAAAATGGGTAGACAGAGATCTCGAAATAGAAATATATGAACTCAAAAAGCCAATGCTGTCACCTACCAGCTCGCACCGTTTCTATCTCATCCAAACATCTCCTTGGACGCAAAGAGACAGCTTATCACCTCAATATTCATACAACATTGTGTTATCAGTGCCAGACCTGGACCTTTTAAGCAAAACCCATGAAAGCAAAATCTCTGCATGCGAAATGAAATGTCTCAGCAAAACCCTTAACATCACAAGACGAGACAGGCAGAGAAATGAAGAAGTAAGAGCAGCTATCGGCACTGAGTCCTGCCTGTGTTACATAGAAAAACGGGATAAAATGGTTTGGCCACCTGTTACGCATGTCACCTGACCAGCCAGCCTTGAGAGCCTACTACACCTAGCACTCTGGAAAGTAATTATAAAGGAAGAGGAAGGCCACGCAAAAGGTGGATCGAGGGTGTCAAAGAAACACTAAGAAAGCATAACATCACAACTGAAAGAGCCTCGGAGCTGGCCTACCATACCATAGAAAACTGCCTCCCCTCGATGCTTAACGGCAACAGAGGATGAAAAAGTGAAAAGTACAATGACCTATTATTCTGTTTGTTTGTATTTTCCTTCAGACAAAAACGAATGAGGAAAAAAAATTGCGCAACACCTCTTGGAAAATTTTTCACTCACCTCATTTTCTCAGCTCTACAAGTCCTTATAATCCACAGGAATCAACACAAAATTGTAGCGATATCACCCAAGGACAAATTTTATGCTAGAATTTCACATATTTAGTTGAATATCTTTCACTGAAGGGCCATTTAATTATACCAGGCACTGTGTTGTTTACCCTCCCTACATAGCGACCACAAAACAACGATTTTTGCGAGAATTTTGCGGAGTTTCGATCGATTTTGGCGCTCGGAGATTGAGGTCGGGCTTGTTTACAAGTTCTACTGCCTTTCGACAACTTAAAAAGTAAACTACGTTAAAAAGTGCACATTTGTTTCAGATTTCGCTCAGATTTTGTTGAGCCGCTCACAGCGGTCGAATGGCGGCAGCGAAAAACCCAGAGCCGCTGTCAGCGGCCAAATGGACGGATTCAGTTAAGAAGTCTAAAAGTCAGTGTGTCTTGAAAAAAAAAAGTTTATCTAGAACGGTCAGTTGAAGCCATGGCACTACAGCTATGAAAAAGAAAGGACACAGTGCATTTGATGACTGGTTGATGTGGATACTATTCCTGATAAGACCATTCCTGGTATGGGTCTCTGCCAATTATTTATAAGTTTTATGTAAGTTGTTTAGTTTTTCCAAGTCCAACTGCTTCTGATCATGCTTTTAAATGCTCAGTTTTTTATCTTTTTATGACCGAAACACCTGTGTCCTTATTCCTGGACTGATGGATTATGTGTACCATTGATATCTTCAAGTTTCATGCTTCATGTAATTTATGTTGTGCTCTGTGTTCACTTCTTAAAATTTCTTCTTACAGCAGAACAGTGCCAGTACAACTATGGAATTTAAAACCCTCAACCTGTTGCTCATGAGTCTGGCAGCCTGATTTGGGCCACAGACTCCTACTTTTCATTTGTCTTTAGGCAATAAAACTATATTTCTCATCTCCTTTTTGTTCCATCTTGGCAGTGGATAAAGAGATATCATCCTTTTTGGACAAAGAAATTCAGTTTGAAACATCAAGATCAAGTGATGACTTGCCAAAAGTTTCTGGATTTGAGGTCACAACTGAAGGTGGAGACATAACCCTTACGAAATCAAAAGGCTCTGAAAAGTAAGAATGTTTTCTAACTTTCTGATTTGTCAGTTCATGCAGTTTATAAAATGTTTACAGAATTGAATTTTTTTTTGTTTCTATAGATTCTATGAAAAAAAAATGTAATTTTAAAGAAAATTTTATTTTCCATCTATTTGATATTAGTTTTTAGTGCTGGGAGAGAGAAAGGAGAGCTCCATGACATTCATAACATGACAAATCAGTGATGGAGGAAGTTACATCTGATGTTATATATACGCGGGTGTGGAAATTATTGATTTGATATGATTATTTTGTATGGAGCCATTAATGTACTTATTCTGAACATTCAGTTGTTCAATTTAACTTAATAAGTATTATGATCCCTGACTTTATAAGCTAATTTGTCGGGTTCACAATTCAGTTTCTTTGAATTCGAGATTTGAGCGAAGCAAGGTCTTTCATTTTTCTTCCCCTTGAATGAACTCCAGCAGATGTTGTCAAATTTTAAGAGAGAAGAGTTTCAGTTTCACACTCCTCAATGCCTCTTGAAGGACTGACCATGACAGATAATGCTGAGACTTGAACTGAATGTTAGAGGCAAATATTCCTGAACTGGATTACATTTGCCCTTGTTATTTTTATTCCATTGCTATGTTTGGTTCCCTTATGATAAAAAGATGGAAAGATTGGCTGCTCTGTAGTTTAGGGGCACCGACAATGAGACAACTGATACCAATCTTTATTTTGCTTTAGTGGCCACATATCTGTTGGTGAAGTGAACGCTGGACAAGAAATTCCTAAGTGATGCTGAGTAGTCACCCTCACACATGCATATGCTGAGAGGGGGGGTTTGAAGTCACTTACTCAATAACAGCACAACCCCCTACCTTCACTAACAAGTTCCCTGCTGTTGTACTGGCTGACCAAAGAGGCAGGAGGTTCAAAACTGAGTGGCATCCTAAATTTTCTTGTTTTTCTTTGAGTCTGGAAAGGCAATTGATAAATTTCCATTAAATGAAAAAAAAAAATAATTAAACTGCCCCTAATTGATACAATTTAATTTGATTTTCAACAGAGTTATTGTCAGACTGAGTGTAAATGGAGCGGTGGATTCTGTGATTGCAGAGAGTGCTCCAGAGAAACAAGATGAGCCGCCACAGGTAAGGGCTGACTGTTTTGGGGCTGTTTGTTTTTTTTTACTCAGTATCATAAGCACTGCATAAAAGGGAAGTTCTGGTGGCGTTGGTAACGTAGTCTAGTTGTAAGACTACTAGACCCATAATTGTTGTGAGTTGTGAGATTGGGTGTTCACTTTTTCGAGTCTCAGCTTGGAATGAAGTCGCACAAATTTTTCCTTTTGTCTTGGTCCTATTGGAGATGGCAGGTAATTTTAGAGGTCCTGCTTCTTAAAAAGTGTTTGACAGGAGTGTTACACCTCTATACAATTTCAGTTTCAATTCATCATGAAGTTGTTGACATATGAATGTCCTATCTTTTAGATTTCGATTTTTTTAGTGCTAAGAGGGACTTGCTTGAAGATATGGCAGACATCAAATTAGTGAAAGACAATATGAGCATGAATAGGATTCTTTCATGCAAGATGGTTAACAGTTAACAGTAACAGTCAGTGTGGCGCATGAAATACCTTGGCCAAATTAGTTCCATTCGCATGTGCCTTGTTTATGGCAAACAAGTGAATTTTGCCCATAACTGTTAATTGTTCTAAGGATAATGTGCTGTAATATATAGTGTCATATGAGGCATTGTGGTGAAATCAGGCGCTTGTCAAAATAATGAAATCGAAGAAACTGGGATTTTTCTGTCCGTTTGGCAATTTTTATCGAATTTTTTGTTGTTGACTCTACACCTTTAAGGTCCATTTAAAAACAATTTGCTGTTTGGATTTTACTAAAAAATATTGATTTAAGACACATAAATGTAAATTTACAGTTTGTAAGGACTCTCAAGCTTTTTGGGGGGGAGGGGGGTAAGTGTTTTACGCCGCTCACAACTGCATAAGGTCATATGATCGCGCGGGACACACCTAATATTTTCAGTTGGTAGGAAATTTTGAATTATGCGCGGGTGACTGCCGAAGCCTATTCTTATCAATTTTAGACCACCATGGGATCTTAAACGTGCGCAACTTGCACTCAGGACCTCCAAGATTTTTTGCCCTTATCCGAGAAGGCTAGGTGTTTGATCTTACCTACCGTATGATCAGGGGTATGGATGAAAGACAGCTGTGAGAAGGAGCCGAAGAGTAGCAGTAGAAAGGCTGCAGAAAGAGTCAGGAGCCCAGAGGAGGGGTTAAAGGGAGTGGGGGCAGAAAGGGGAGACGGAAGCAGACGACAGAACATTGCTAAAGAGCAGGAAAGGAGGTGAAAGGAGACAATTTTAGAGAAGAAAATTTTTCGGTCGTCACGCGGATTCGAAACCGTGGCCTATGAATGAGAGACCAAGACCTTAACCTCTAGGCCTCGAGAGCCCCCTCTCAAGCTTTGGAAGTGGCCAAATTTTGCTGCCATTGTCTTGGTAATTTTACCTCTGAAACCAGACAACCCCTGCCTCCTTCAGTCACAAGTATCTCGACTGCTATTCAGAATAATCACTATTCATGACGTATGAGTATTATTTTCACTTAAAGCAAGACAAATGAATAAGCTTTGATATGATACTGATGGCTCTACATGTCCAAAAATTGACGAGTGCCTGATTCCACCACGTCGTAACACAAATGGTGGAGGCCACTGAAAACGAACACTGTTAATCCGAAAATATGAGCAAACCAAAAGAAAACTGAAACCTGATTTTATTCTTCACTTTTTAAAGAATGTCTTTGAACCAAAAACATGGCTCAAACAAAGAAACTCCAGTAGTCCAGCAGATCTCAGTGTAAGTGGACTCTGCTGTAAAGTCCTCAAGCTCATCTGTTGGCTGTCATGCTAGTGTCATGCAAAAATACCTAGTACATCTCTAAAACTTTAGGGGCAATTTCAGGCTTTCTTTCTTTCTTTCTTTTTTTTTTACTTGCAACAGGAGTTAAAATTAATACTTTCACAGTACAATGTCTTTAATTTTGTAAAGTTTACAGTCAGCATCAGTTGGGTAACAAGTGTTTAAACTACATCTGAAATCGGCAACCAAGACTTCCCTGTCTAGAACTTTGATACACTCCATTTTTTGGACAAACTAAAGGGTTGGGGTTTAGGGAGAATTTGGTCTCATATCCTTAAACTGTACTTCACATTGATTATTCTGGGAAATAAACGATGACCTCACAAAGAAACAAAGCTATGTAGTAATTTTGGAATGATATGCAAAAGATGCACAAGGTATGTAGCACATGATCCTAGCCACATTTCATAAAATAATGAGACAATCGTGAGAGCTTGGAGTCAGGAGGGGGGATGGCGGGGATGTTAATCAGGGAAAATGGAACACAAGCTGTTGTAAAATTATAATCTCGCTTGCACGCGCGCGCACACACACACACACACACACACACACACACACACACACACACACACACACACACACAAGAAGAAAGAAACAGTTGACATTTTGCTCATTTGTCCCCAATGTGGTCTTCAATCTCTCTTCCTTGTTCTCAGACTCACGCACTTACATTATGATGTATGTGGACTTACATTCTCTCTCTCTCTCTCTCTCTCTCTCTCTCTCTCTCTCTCTCTCTCTCTCTCTCTCTCTCTCTCTCTCTCTCTCTCTCTTCTCTCTCTCTCTCTCTTCTCTCTCTCTCTCTCTCTCTCTCTCTCTCTCTCTCTCTCATGCACACATACACACACTCACACTTTGTTTAATTCTGTCTTGCTAACTTATTTGACAATGTAGTTAAAAAAATTATGTGCTGTCATGCCGCCCTTTATTTTTGAGTCACTACCTGGCAGCTTGTCTGTTTGTCTGATCACAGTTCATTACTTCAGCAGCTGTTACAAATAGGGGTACGGTTCTGAGTTAAATGACTTGTTAACGTTTGCCATAAACGTTAGGGAGACCCCCGGGGCAGTGCCTTTGACTGAAGTGTCTTTAGGCCATTCCCAAAGGGGGAACATTTCTCGTTCAAGCACAGAAGAATTGTAAATGGGCTGACTCGTGTCACGCTCATAACTCTGTGAAGGCTTAAATTGAAGCTAGAGAAGTTTTTGGGACTGGTGTGTGATTAACACTTTCCTGTGAATGCATGAACCACATCATGTGTTTATCACTTGACTACACTGTCAGTGATTTTCATGACTTATTTATAGAGGTTTCTGTTTTGCTTATTTCTGCTTTAGCCGCCTTTTTTCTAGTACTGGGACTTCTGTTGTTATAATTTAACATTTCAGTGTCGTAGGGGTGAGGCACACTTTTGATATTGTTTGCAGTACCCCCAGCGGCAGTGCCACTCACTGAGGTGTCTTTAGGCCATTCCCAAAAGGGGGACATTTCTCATTCAAGCATAGTAGAATTGTAAATGGGCTGACTCTTGTCACGCTCTTAACTGTGCCAGATCTATAACAGGAAACTGTTGATTTTTCTTTCCTGATCCTTACTATTGTCATTTTCCTCTACTTCTTTTGTATGTTTGTCACTCTCTTGTGACCTGCTATTTCCGGGGTGCCTTGATAGTCGAAGCAGACCTTGTGCTGTTGAAGCTAGAGAGGTGAGCAGTCTAAGTCTGATTCCCTAAAGACTCCTCTGTTGACACCCACCCCTTGGCTCTCATATGACCTTATGCAGTTGCGAGCGCCGTAAAACCCTCTACTATAAAAAAAAATTGTTTGCAGTGGGGTTTTCGTCTCTGTATGGAGGGCAGACTTGGTGTAGAAACTAGCTGTATGAAGCTGTCATTATTGACCATCTGTTCTGTGACATGCTCCCCACTCCAGGGGTGGTTGGAGGGAGATGCTGGTAGGTCCTAGGCCTACTTCTTTTCTTTCCCTATTGTTTCTGTGCATCTGTCTTGCTTCTACTACGGATGGAATGAAGTATGACTGTTACTGTTTTGATGTGCTTGTCTTTACTCAAACTCAAACCGTGGGTGGTTGACGGGTGCTCTGATGTGGTTTGCTCCTTCTTTCCTATCAAACATCTATCGTCCTTACCTCCCCTTCTTAATCTTCTGGTGCTCATATGACCTATACAGATGGCGAGCGTCGTAATACCCTCTGCTAAAAAAATTTTTTTTAAACTCAACTCAAACCCAATCATCCTTCCCCTCCCCCCCTCCTCCGGGTGTTTGGCGGGTGCTCTCGTGTGGTTTGCTTCTTCTTTCCTATCAAACATCTATCGTCTTTATCTCCCCTCCTTTTTTGTGTTTTTTACTCTCTTGTTGTAACACCTCTAATCTTCGGCACTTATATGACCTCATTATGTTGCGAGTGCCGTAATACACTTACTAAAACAAAAAAAACAATTCCCCCCCCCCTTCATTGCCACGAATGACCATCCGTGACAAAAGGTGGCAGTCCCACCCCTAACACAGAGAAGACTGACGCGTTTGTATCTGAGACTTTCCGCGCATGGACCGCTGGTGCCCCCCCGACATACGCACTCACAGTCACACGGGTACAGGCTGCCCATCTGACCCTGACTCTCGCTAGAGTAGACACATGCGCATGCCAACGACGCTTGTGTTTGTTTCAAAGAAGGCCGCTGATTGGTCGCATGCAATGCAATCAGCTAAAAGAATATGGTTCACGATGCAGGTGTAATGGATAGTTTCCAGGAATAGATAAAGTTCGTTGTGGGAGAAAAATGAGTGAAGCCACGTCTGCGGCAGCTGTTCGCCCTTTAAGCAACCTCGTTGAATCCGAGCTTGCTGATGTAAGTGTTCGTTGAATCCGGGTTATTTTTACTGATTTTAAATCTAAGGAAAAAAAGAATCCATCTCCTTTCATTGAATCCGAGTTCTCGTTGAATTCGAGTTCCACTGTATCTTCATCCTCACTGCTAATCACAACATGTTATCTACTCGTCTACTACAGATGGTCTGCCGGCCGCCGTTTGAGGTCGAAATCAGCAAGGGGGATGGGACAGTCCTAGCTCTTCAATGTGTCTTCCCGAGCGCTGATGAACCCTTTGAAGATGCAGAACAGTACAGCAAGGGAGACCAAGAGGCTGACAGAATTGGTAAGTACAGTGGAGTCTGCACAAGTCCCAGGTTTTTTTTTACCTGTCAGAACCCCAATCGGATTTGCATGAAACCCAATTCTTTTCTTGAACTCCCGTGTCCATCAATCATATGCGACTTCACTTATCTCAAAGGGTGTGACACTGACATTACACATTTTCATTTGAGCATATTTTCTGTTTAAATGTTAATTTAACACTCTCAGTTTGTTACTTTATCTTTGTCTACTAGGGTTCTGGAGACCACATTTTTCCCTCACAGTTTTTCTTTTGACATATTGAATGTCCTGGTAACAGCAGAAACACTCCGAGCATTCTGATGGCTTGATTTCTCTGATGCTAAGTTAAACGTACCATCTTTCTTGAGTGATGATCAAATGTTATTGAGGTTTTTGAAAAATAAAGATCTGAACTTCTTTTATTAAAAAATTATTTAAAAAACAAAGAATAGAAAAAAATCCGCCGCATTGCGGTCAATTATTATTATCTATTTTTATCTTGTTGCTGTGAACACTAATTGAAGCTCCATTTATACAGTAGTCTCCGCCTGAACTGGGGGGGGGGGGGGGGCTCCTTAGCGTGTGTTTATACGGAGCGTGCGTTTGCATGAACCTGTACAAAGGGAGGAAGGTACACAGTCATCTCATTGCCTTGATTTTCTAGTGACCTCCCTTGGGGGTGGGGTTACTTTGGCCGATAGTGTGACGATACGTGACTGTTTTGTGAAGAATTCCCCGACACTGGTTAAGAGCACATAGGCGTTGAATAGGGGGGGGGGGGGGAAGAAAGACGGACTCAATGTAATGATATGCACCATAAAAATGTCAGGAACAGATAGCCTAAGAGGAAACTGTTGGTGATTATTATAGAGACGAAGGCGCAGCCACGTGGCTTTCCAAGCGACCACCTCCAACCGTAAATTCATGGACGACATCAGACTCATAGTATAGATCTCTACATTCAGAGAAACATTTCTCTTGTGATTCGTTCAACAAATATGTTATAAGTTCTTCAAGTGCAGCTGATTATGCTTACTTTACTAATCTTTAATCCTGTAGAGGTCTATCTAGTGTTTTTTCATGCGTGCTGTGCATCATAAGCCTAGGTCTAACTAACATTTCATGCAGTCACCCCGACTCCCGTCAGAAACCTTCTCTCAAAGTCAAATGCATTTCCAGTGACCAATCAAAACACATTTCAGTCCCCCAACCTCCCCACATTTCACCGACCAGTCCTAGACCTATTTTTCTGTGGAAAGTTAGGTGTAAAAATGAAGTCCGTCACTCTGTTTGGCATGAGGGGAAGTCTCACCAAACATCTGTTTTTCTAGAACAGCTTATACATTCTTAACTGAGCTTTTACTTCTAGGCTGCAGCGAAAATTTCCCCTTGTCGAGCTTTACCTGTGTTTCGCGGATCGGAGCGTGCGTTTAGAAGAAATGACCATTCGTTTGTACGTCTACATTATTATATGGTAAAAAAACCCGTCATGTGACGAAAGCAAAAGCGTGTGTTTGGGCAGAGCGTGTTTGTGTACGGCGTGCATTTAGGCAGAGACTACTGTAACAATGCTTTCTTTTAGGACTTCTTAGTATTATTCGTGTGAAAAGAAAAGCATAAAGACGCAGAAGACTAGATTTTTTTTTACAAAATAAAAAAGTGATACCTTTCTTATGATCGCCGGTAAAGTAATATTAATAAGAAGCAGGGTGACTTAATTTATAAGTCCTTGTTTTTAGGTAAAAAGTTGTGTGCTCTATACTATGCAATGATACATTGTTACTTTTATACGGTACTTTGTTTTATTTCAATTTGCTATGTTGGTAAACCTGTTGTACGGCACATAGAAGAACAATCGAGACAACGGACGTCTGTGGTGGCGTAGCTGGTAAGGGCTTTGCCGTCACATGATGCGAGAGACCTGAGTTAGGAAAATTTTATATTGTGTTGGTCTTTCTTCTGGGACGGTATAACGGTTTATAACCCGACACCTAAATTATCAAAATTATTTCAATGGGGAGGTGTAAAAGCACCTACATTAAAAAAACAAACGAATTGACTTGTGTGTGTGTGTATGTGTTCAAGTAATGTGCAGGTTCTATTATGATCTGTCTGCAGAGGACCAGTTTGAAATTCAGGAAGTCGCACTCCACAGTGGTGAGTGGAAGGACACAACATTCTCAGTCTCAGCTGCTACAATGGACGCTGTAAGTACTGTGTGTGGTCCTCATTGTCTTATAAAACAGAGGTTCCAACTGTTTAAGAAAAAAGTCCTGATCTTTGCGGTCCCTATGAACTCATTTATTTGTACAGAGAGTAAACATTAACAGATCATATTGTTGAATGCGTCTCATATCACGAATTTTTATATAAACTGAATATGACATTCAAAGAGACTAAAATATATCAATAAATGTAGACTATAAGCAGAAGTAAGGTATACCGGTGTATTACAGAATCTGGATATTTACAGAAATCCTTCTGAATTTATCTGGAAAATCTGCACCTCTGTTGTGAGAAATATTTTCATGGTTTTTTACTCTACTGTCAGGATCGATGCTTCCATTTTAGTATGCAGGCCTGAATTTTGTTGGGGAGGTAATATATACGTCAGTATAAGTATTGCTTTCGTAAATGGAGCTCACAAAGCTATACAGTCCGTGCCAGCTTTAAGCACACCGGCATAAAGCACGTTTCGGATTCAAGCACGCTAAACGGCTCTTACCGAATTTGTGCTATATAAATTACACACCTTTAAGCACGGTAACTTTGGCTTGAGGCACACTTCATTTACAAGACAGTCATACTTTCATGATGACCCATCGAAGTTTGAACAGTCTACACCCCAGCAGTGAGTGTGTTAAGAGAAACACATTGTAAAAGAACGCAAGTGATGGAGACACACTCTCACACGTGCGACGAGGAAGGCGGAGAGATGCACACAGCCTCGCGCATGAACATAGGATCTAGCCTAGGGCAAAGCTACACACACACGAAAAAGATACAAAGAGAGTTGGGAAGACAAGAAAGGGAGGCTGCCTGTGATCTCACCTTTGACCCTCGCTATCCATTAATCCTGATTATGTATCACGTGCGAGGTGGGATGAAGGCAGTGGTGGTATGAATGTGGCACAGCGGGCAGTGGTACGCACAGGCAGTGTGTAGGCCTCGTGTGCTGTATTGTGACTGGCCATCTAAATTGAGTTTTCATTTCCCACTCGACCACAAAACAAAAACATACAAACAAACAAAAACTACCGTGGCGGGTAAAAATAACAGCGCACACTTCTGCGGGACCCCTATAGGCCTACTTACAAACAAAAGGAAATAGCACAGGAAATTTTCTACATGAAAATCTCTGGATTATGTCTACTTCGCACTCTATCACGCTTATGCTTTCTCCCAATGACCGTGCTTAAAGCCGTCGTGGACTGTGTGGTTTCTTTTTTGCCTTTTCCTTGAATGATTGCAAAAACAAATAATATATATATGAATGGAACAATGTTAAACCGCAAATAATGGTAAACCAAAAGAAAATAAAAATCCCCCATTTTTTCCTTGTATTTGAGTAGCAATGCCCACCGAGCGCATTTTGTTCTGCCGATTTTTGGCCCCCGCAGCGGGGGTGTTTCGTGGGACGCACTAACGCAAAGGTTGTTGTCTTCAACTCGCTCTCACGCCGCTTCTCGTGAATGGATATGAATGAAACTTGGCAGCCAATCAGAAAAGAGGTCAATCTCGTAGTATGCAGTTTGACAACATTGTACCCATCCTAGAAGCAGTCGAAAACGTTTGCGAAAGTGGTTGATGTGGTGCGCTTTGAAGGTTTTTCGGAGCTGTGATTTGTCAAACTGACTGTTACGTTGTACACCATTTTTCTTTATTCCCTTAAAATTTCATGCTTCTGTGTTTAGCGGTTTTGGCGTAATCTTTAAAAATGTGGGAGTAACTAAGGGAAAAAGCTACATTGCCATTTGCGCGTTCTGGGTGAACGGCCGGCGGCATGGAAATTTCCACTGAGTGACGTCATCAGCCATCGGTCGCCTCGAGCGCTACAAACGAGGCCCCGCTTATGTGAAATGGAAAGGGGGGGGAAGGATATTTTAAAACTAAACGGGGGCCTTGATAACTTGCGTTTTTGTTGCATTTTAGTCACAATACAATAGATGTAGTCATTTTTATTTGCTTGATTGCATGACAGAAGAATAGAAACAGAAAAGCAAACATCTTGAGAAGTGGTATGGCATTGTGTTTGCGTTATGAAAGCCTATTCGCCCCTCTTGGGAAAGCACACACTTGGACTCGTCCTGTGTGCTCTGTTTGGGAAAAGTGAGGCATTAAGATTGTTATTAAAGAGTATGGTACTTATTTAGTCCAGTCTGGGAAGATAGTCCCGTTTATACATTGTTATCGTTCACGCGTGCGTGCGTGAGTGCACGCGCGTGCATGTGTGTGCGCGCGTGAGAGAGAGAGAGAGAGAAGGGGGGGAGGGGGTGTAAATATGTTACATTTATTGTATGAGTTGTAGCCTACACATGCGAAATATTCCCATGACTTGTAAACTATATTATCTGAACGCATCTTAATCTACCACACAATAGGACACTGTCCAACAATGGATATAGGCCTACACAGAGACGATCTTATTTTCTATAACAAAGTATGCATGCTTTTACTAGTACAAAACTGGATTTATTAGTAGCTCTCTACTTACATTTTTGGGACAAATTGATCCAGAACATTGCTTGGCAAGGAGGAAACTTTTATGTTGCCAAGTTTCATTCAAATATCATGACTTTGGGAGAACATATGACTGATAATCTTTGTAAATCTGTAAAGAACGCCACTTTTTTACCTGTTAATGTCTTTACAACTCAAAAAGTATGACAGATATTAAAAATCTGACTGCATGACTAGATTCTGCATTAAAAAATGTACTAGACTGCCAAGTTTCATTTACATTCCAAGAAATAGGCGAGCTATGACAAATATTGTCTCAAAACACACCGAAAACGGCCAACATTTTTACCTATAAACGTCTTCATAACTCAAAAAATAGGATAGCTATGAAAAATCTGAAAGCAGGACTAGATTCTGCACTAGAAAATGTACTGGGTTGCCAAGTTTCTTTTAAATACTCAGAGAAATGAGCGAGTTATGACGAATATTGTCTCAAAACTCACCAAAGAACGTCCCATATTTTGGGGTTTTTTCATTATATAAAAGTGTACCTGAAATTAATTGATTAAAAAATCCGTAACTTTTTTGTTTATTGATGGATTTTAAAAATTCAAAAAGTTCCATGCTCTGTGAAGATAAAGCTACCAAATGCACATATTTGCAAACATTTTCTGGCAAAAAAGGGATTTTCGTGGTCATTGCTAATTTGAGTAACCTCTCTCTAATAAAAGCCTGGCCTAATGGAAGAAAATCCTGTGGTTCGTTGTATAGATAATAAATAAAGATGCCAGCTTATTATGAAAACAAATCTAGAATTTTGTATTTCTAGATTATTTTCATATAAGTGCAACATGACATAAATATATATGCAAAGATGTGAATAGGTAGAATATTAACAGGAATGCATTACAAGATCTGGACGTTTTCAGAAATCAGGATTTATCCCCAAAAATTGGCACTTATGAATTTATATCAACTGTCTTTCTCCACGCCCTCAGGAGTTGTTTGACCTACTCATGGACATGCTTGACGAGAGAGGTGTCAACGACGAATTCATCTCCCAGCTGGTGGAATACTGCACCGCCTACGAGAACAAACAGTACATTGGATTCCTCAAGGGACTCAAGACATTTGCCGAGAAGTAAACAAGTAACCCAGCCAACATTGGTATCATCACAGATCTGTGTGCCTGAACGACTGTTATGCGAGTTGCTCGTAGTTGTAGCTCTTCACTGTATTCTGAAGAGAGTTATATTTGGAGAGATGTCAATTCTAAGTCTGAACTTTTGGTGGTAACAGGATAAAAAAAATTTCCTCCTTTTTTCCTCCCCCAGTCCTATTCAGTTTGTGATACCAGATGAAAGCTTGTACTTGCTTATGTTTTATTAAGTTTCTGATATATATAAGCCGGTTATGTTTCAATTCGTAAAATGTGGACTCACTTGTGTTCAGAATTGTTTTTTCTGAAATCATTATCTGTACTCCGAACTACTATTTGATGTGTCTTCAGAGGCCCATAATTTAATTTGTGAAGTGTACGTATTCCATGTTTTGTTCATGAGTAAGCCAGTTGTTGGGATTAATTTTGTGATGAAATCAGTTATTATTAGGACAGTATTCATCAGTCATGACACAGTGAGTCTGTAGTGTTCTCTTGACTAGTCCTTCACTGAGTAGATCCTCGAATGTAATATTGTTGCAGAGGGTTCTTGTACATTGAGTTTTGTTCCTGCCATTTGACTGACGTGTGTAAGCTCATTAAACATGTTTCTCGTACATTTTAACAAGGTGTTTTTCTTGCTTGGTTTTTCCTCCCTGAAATGAAAATGTCAGAACCAACTTGCTTTTTTTTCTGAAATGCCCAGTCAGCAAGCACTGATCTAAATGTGTGAGGGAAGTCTGGTCTTTGTAAAAGTGTTTATGGCTTGACGTGATTACGCTTTGGGGATTTGAACCAGGGCCATCTGCTCCGTGTCCAGAATGATACCAAAAGATCTAATTCTAACGGTGCGCCCACCTTCTGGACTGAGACTGAGAGAAAATGTTTCAGGATAGAGTAAACTAATTCAAACCCCCTCACCTCAAATTCATACTTTTTCCTGAGGCACATCAAGTTTACAACTTATTGTATCATCACAGCACGCGGCCAGCCTTCTCAATTTGACAGATCTCATGCACTGGAAAGAGTATGACAACTCAGGTCTAGATCTAGCTGTAAGTGGTGACATGAAAGGGGTTGTTATGATCCAGCAGCAATAGTGGTGAAGTGCTGTATGATGGCACGGTTCATTGCATTCTTGGTCTGTGGCAAGTCTGTTTAACAGACAATTGTTGTTAGTTCTCATCTTTTCATCACCAAATTTTCCCTGCACATTTTATATATATGATGAATGGAAGAGGATAGGTGGACCCCAGGGTATATCTAGTGAAATACTAGCCTTTTTTAGAATTGGTAGACTCCGGAGTCACCATAGTGAAATAAGTAGGTTTAAGGATTGGTGGACCCTGTGATAAATATGTTCCAGGATAGGTGCCAACCCCGCGGTTTTCCGGCTTTCTTTCGAATTCCTTAAACTTAAACGTTTTGAAATAATCCCCTTCACTTTTTATAAAAGATCAGAAGAATCTTGACTTGCGAATCCATGATTAGATCTAATTCTAGAAATCTACCTTTAAAAAAATTTTCAGCCTGTCGACCATGCCATTCGAATCTGTCATCTGACCATCTTGTGACAACTACTGTCTTCCTCAAAACAGTGAAAACACCAGACATTCAGTTTGACAGGTGCCTCCTCCAAACACAAGGTCAAAGATTTCAGTGTTGCCAGGTGCTGGTGTTAGATCTAGATCTAGGCGTACTTCAGAATCTCAAATATGATTTACTGATTTTTAAAATATAAAACGTCACTTTTTTTTTTAAAGGAACTCTATAAATACAAAATTTACGATTTATTAATGTCAAACCAAGTCTGTCCTACATCTCTTTTATTTTTTTTTTTTTTTAGCTAGCCTAGGGCCTTTCCTAACATGAAGATGTTAGACAGCTTTTCATTGGTCAGCTTGTCCTAAAACAGCAATTTTGCTTTGTACACCCTGGGGCCCACCTATCCTTTTCACTAGGTAGACCCGGGGTCCACCCATCCACTTCTTAATATATGATACTTTTTGTTTTAAAAAAAAGTCTAATACGTATTAGTATTCAGAAGAAAATGTTTATTTGTCATATATAATTTATACAGGACCGGTATATTTTCTTATGCGGTTATAGTGCAAACTGGGTTTTTTAAAAAGTTTTAAATCATCATACCACGGATTTTCAAACATACTCCTGAATTAATAATAATAGATTGTATTTGTATTGTGCAAATTCCTGCACATGAGCAAGCTCTATGCACTTTACAATCTATGCTATTACCCTAGCAGACTTGATAGCATTCTGAAACAATCTTAACAGTGCAAGCCGCATAAAGTATGATAAAGGAAATAAAAGTTTCCTGGGAATCGTATCGTTAAAGGTTGGAGGAAGTCGGCAAGTTAGTCTTGAAAATTCACTGTGGAGTCTTCCAGCGACATAGCTGAAATAAATTGTTTCCAACAGCTTCACTTTATTACAAGTATACAAATAATATTTTCATAGCAAAACAAGAAGAAACAAATGGATTTGCCAAGTACTGTTGCTCACACCATGACATGTAGAGGTTTGAGTTAACTCATTCAGACACAGACAGTTCATGCTTCAGCACATACAGTTTTGGATCACTGAATGTGAACATGCTATTACTAATAGTTTCGCGAGGAGCATCATGTAATAGAAGCAGTATGCAGAATACAAACTATGATGAACAGCCTTCATCATTGTGGTCCTCCTGCTTCTCAAGGTTTAATGAGCGACGTATGTCGCAGTAGCAACTTGCTTCCTTTGACAAGTAAGAAAAAATGACAAATGGTGTATAGTGTATGTCATGAAGGTCATGAAGGGGTTAACTAAAACCTCATGGACTTGGCTTGCCTAGCCCACAATACAATGTACTCAAATGTACCGTTGAGAGACTTGTTTCATCAGTGTCATTCCGCAAATACCTTTTTCTTTTTTTAGTTTTGAGAAAATTATAGAAGAAAAGTTGACCCTGATCAAAACCATGATTTGGGCATTTATTTTTTAAATTGAAAACAAGGAAGGAAATTATAAAACAAACAAAAAGTTTGTGGAATTTGTTGTAAGATGCGCCTGGATGTCTAGCTCTAAGCCTCTTTTTTAAAAACAACTTTAGCTAGAAACCTGAAATTGATTTGGTGAATTGAGGAGTGACGCTAACGATTTTGTTTTTAGAAATCAAAGATGTCAACAATAAATTGGTCCTTCCCCCTTCTTTTCTTCCGGTTCACCAGAACAAGCACACCTAGGTCCCATTACATAGAATAACACAGGAATATTATGAGTATGAAGCTGGGAATCTCGGATAATTCTTGAAATTGACCAAACTGCGTAAAGTAAGGTCTTCTGTGCCCTGATCCAGGGTAAGAAAGGCAATGATGATGATGATGAATGTCACCTGTGGATGAATCCGATATAGTTCTGCTCTTGAACAAAGTGTTTGGATTATAAGTAAAGTGTACACCGCTCAGCATCATAGGAAAAGAGCAGTTGGGCTTTAACCCTTGTCCTGCGGGGGCCGGGTTTGTGTTGCCCGATAAGTCTATTTCGGCACCTCTCCTTCATTGGTTCGAAACCGAGGCATACGTCTCATTCAAAACACGCCAAATTGGTAGCTCTTGATGTTTGTCCAATGAAATTAGAACAAATTGACCTACTTAGACATGAGGAGCTGGAAAGGATAGTCGGGAAACAAGACTTCCATTTTTCTATCGAAACAAAATCTTTCAAATGAGCTTGATTTCGTATGAAATGATACTATCTGATAAAAAGAAGCTTATTTGATAGCTTGGAATACCAGTACCAGTGTGCCGGTAAAAAGAACAATTTGAGAGCAAAACATTCAGAAATTGACCTATTATCATCCCTTTTTGAACCCCAGATCATTCATAACAACAAGAGCGTCTAAAAAGGTAATTCGAATGGGTGTAACTACTCGTAATGTCTTATCAGCTTATGAGAGGGGGTTATTCATGTGTTCGTAACACTTTATAAATAGAAAGGTATAAAAGATAGAGGGTTATTTTCATCATCGATTAACACACTCCCATGGTATTCATGATGGCAAAAACCCACGTTTCCAGGCGCGCTTGCTGTACACCAACAGTACACGCTGAGTGACCCCGGCGGCCCGCCCAGAACGCCCGTCTTCTTAATAGGTTGCTGATAAGATTCGCATCTCGGCACAAGAAGCAGGACAAGAGTTAACTATAGTCTACTCTTCACACCTCACAGGATAAGAGCAGTCGCGCTAACGCCGTTCTGGCTGCGTCTCTGTAGCCACAGGCTGCCAGCTCCTCGTACATGGAGGCAACTTCCCAGGGCTGAATGTCGGACGTGAAGGACTCTCGGGCGCAGTCTACAGCAACTAGCTCCAGCTTGTAGAAACACGCCAGTTGGAAGACGGCGAAGCACGTGTGGGGATGCAGACAGCTGTAAGAAAGGACCCAGCCCACGTAGTCCATGAGGTCGTCCAACAAAAACCTGTCGGCCACCGCAAGGAGATCAGCGCACATGTCTACTCGATCTTCCAGCTCTTTCAGTTCAGCGGCCTCCGTGCTCAAAGTCGCATTATCAGTTGTGCCCGTTTCCGTCGCTCCGCCCTCGTCGATACCTTGACCGTTGTCTCTGCTACCCTGCGTGTCCATGGCGATAGAGTCGGGCGGGGTAACGTCATTCTTATCTCCCAGGCTGAGGCTGTCAAGAGAGTCCTCCGACACAGCAAGTTTGGCACTAAAGTCCTGAAGCTGTTTTCTGCTGGAACTGGAGATGACTGCACACGGTGATGAGATGGTAGACATTTCTGAGGCTGAAGCTGTTCCTGAGAAGCATGGAATGTCGTGAGCAGACGAAGGTGTCTCTTCTGTTTGTGAGTCTATACCGCTTGAACTGGAAGGTAGAACATTTAATTCCGATCTGTTCGGTTGTGAAATATTCGCACTCTGTTGTGCTTGTTTTGGTTGTGAAATATTCGCACTTTGTCGCGCTGTTCGAGAATGGCCAACTTGTTCGGTCGAGGAGGTCAGACCCTTAGGCAACAGGGAGTCAATGACTGGACAGCCTGAGCTGCAGCCGTGGAGGTAGTGTATCACAAATTCAAATCCAAAAAGATTGACATCAGAAATGACAATGTCAGACTTGTGGGATTCTTTATACATGCCGCTGAGCATAGCGGCGAAGACAGCTGACTTCCTGACGAGCACCTGTCTGTTGGCGTAGAAGTACAGCGTTGCTCCGTTCTCCACAACCAGGCGAGTGTCAAAATCGTCACTGAGAGTTTGGTACACACACAGGGAAGCCCCCTCCACTGCTTCTGAACGATTTCCCTTGCTTCTTTGAGTGACCTTGCTACGGGGCCTCGCCTGACCACAGCACAGCTCCCGGAGGGTTTTTACCTTGGCGAGAAGAACAAGAGAGCTGTTATTACGTGTTCTGGACGATTCTTTGAAAAAAACAAAAGGATCTCTCAAGTTCTTTGGCAGCGTTTGTCTCTCCTGATGTTGTTGTTGCTGTGAGGTTGCGTCCCCCAACACGTCCTCGGTGTCGGGACATGCATGTAGCTGCGGTCGGCCACTCAGTAGTTTGCTCGGCTCCTCCATACCCACCAGCAGGGTCAAGGCCACTACAATGGCCTCCCGGGTCGTTGGTGCTGTGGCCATGAACAGACAAGCCAGGGCTGTGTCAAACAGAGGGTACTTTTTCAGCAACACCTCCCGCATCCCATCAATACTGGGGAGGAAAATGATTTTTTTAAAATTATTTTTAAAACACAACATAAACAGTAAAGACTTAAAATTGTGAATTTTTCTCTGTTTTTGAAGAGTGGCATAAAACACTGATCTACAATTACAGTCAAAATCATTGTCCAAGGCAGCCACCCAATGAGGAGGAGAAAAGTAATTGTCTCAGACAGGTGGATGTCTTGGACAAAGCACAAAGAGAAGAAATAAGAATAAGACGTAATTTTTACAGGTGATTGTCTTAGACAGGTGGCCCCTAGAGCAGGTTTGAATGTACATAGAACTTAGTTTAGTCTGAGTAAAAAGATGCAAATCAATACTACAATACTTTTAGAATTTAGAGTAGGGGAGAAGAAATATAGACAGAAACAATTAGGGAAAATAAAGAAAAGAAGTGGGATCCTTGTCCCCAACCATGCCCGAAGTTTTCAGTAATGAGAACAGTGGAATCCTGTTATAACGAGAGGGAGGGGACCGGTACAAAATGTCCGTTATAGCAGGATTTTCGTTGTAAGGGACCCAGTAATAAATTCAAAGGAAATAATAAAGTAGGCCTAATCTATGAGTTTGGTGCTCTGTTTATTTCTTTTTGTTATCTCCTCTGATGGTGGTTTTGTTCAACATGACCTCTAGGTCTTACTTGATCAAAAATGGAATCAGATTTCTTTCTCTAGCGTTAGCAATGTTGACAGCTCGGCGTTGGCTATCAGAACGAAAGTTGTCTAGGCTAACTCGCCCGTTGTGTTTCCCCCCGCCCCATCACACCCTGTGGTGCGTTCCCGCGTCTGCTTGCGCACGTCACACATTCGCTCCATGATCCATCACAGCACTGTGACTTCTCCATTCCCACACCGGAGAAGAGAGAGGCATGATGATAGGCCTAGATAATCTAGACTAGGCTGGCCTATCACTATCAGGCAATGCGTTCTGCTTCCCAACGGCTTGCCTGCGCATGCCACACCCTCCCCACTCATTCGCTCCGGCCTTCATCGTTGGCACACATGGACTCTCCCATTCTTTGTTTCGCTTGATCACAAATAAGTTTCTCAACGGGCAAGGTTTTATATGTATAATGACCTATACGCTGTGCACAGCAGCCGGAATATTCCGCTATAACCGACTAGCGCGTATATCTGATTGTGTTATAGCAGTATTTTATTTACAAAGATAAAGAAGGGAAAAAACGGGGTTTTAGAATAATGTCTTTATAACAGACTTCTCGTTATTTCAGGACTCGTTACAAGTGGACTCCACTGTATCATGAATACTAACATTTTTGTAATGCAAATTTTTACTGCCATAATAAAAACAGAACAACTTGATCTGGACAGCACTACAATTACTGTAATTTCAAATGCCCACAGCATCTGAAAAAAGTTTTGTTTTATTAAGCCAAAAAAACTGAGGTACAGTGCAGCCCGCTTAAACCAAAGTCCATAGGACTGCTGGGTTTTACTCAGTTCTGCCGAGTTTTTGGTTTAGGGAGATTACTCAAATAGCGAAGATTAAGGGGAAGAGCAACCCTTGATTTTGCATATTTTGTGTTGGGCTATGCAAATTTTATGTTGAATGATTTTTTAAGACCAACCAGTTTTTTGTCTAAAAATAGCATGGATACAATTGAGAAAGTCTTTATTCTCCTGGTAAATTGCCTTTGGAAACATGAGGATGGGTTAATATAGTGAATTTTCACAACAATTGTCGTTTTTCGCAAAATGAAATTTTTTTCTCCAGTTCTTTCCCTACTCCTTCCTTAGTTTTCATCCTTTAGACATGAAACTTTCAGGAAACATAGATGGCAAGACCGTCATCAATGTATCAGAGAGATATTAGCGAAAAAAATAAAACTTTTCCATTGGCAAGCCATTACACAACCTAAATTTAGAAAAAGGTTTTTATACTTTGGGAAAATTCTTCTCTTTTTTTTTCTTTTCCATTTATTGAAAAAAACTTGCTGTTACTCTAATAGGGTCTGGTTCAGGTATACTCTCACCAAATTTGGTCAATTTGGTCAGTGAATAAGAAAGCCTTAGGGATTTGAAATTCATAGTTTATTTTCAAGATGACAGCCATTTCCATAGCAACCGCTGTAGCTATGCCAAAATAAAATTGCGCACCGAGAGATTTTACTTACCTAACTTATAGGTGTACTTAGATTTGATCTCGGGCAACAAACATAAAAATTGATCCTCAAGGGTAGCTCCTCCCGTTAAAATAGGGGATTCTAATTTCTTTTGGTCACCGCTGTTTTCGGATTAAGGATTAACCGTGCTCGGGTAAAGCTGATTCCACTGTATTTCAAACAAGGTGCAGTTAAAGCACATAACCTTCATATGAAGAAGCAAACAAACTAGAGAAGGACCAATAGAATGTTTTGTACCGGAGTCTGCAATAGAACGATAGGCGCTTTGTCTTCACTTGCATGCAGGAGACCCAAGTACTATTCCCCAGTGGGTAGAATTTTTTATCCAATACTTCAGTCTTTCTTTTAGGATCATTTCTCAGCACAGGTTGGCCCTGACAGGCAGGGCCAAAGACTACCTCCTGAATTAGTTTAGTTTTAGTCAAAGTTTTACAGCACTTGCAACACTGTAATTGTAACAGTAACAAGGTCATATATGTGCCGAAGATTAGAGGTGTTGCAAGAGAGTAACGAACAAAAAAGGAGGAGAGATCAGGATGATAGACGTTGGATTAGAAAGAAGGAGCAAATAACACTAGAGCACCCGTCAACCACCACGTACCTCCTGAATTATCGAAATTGTGTTGAAGGAAGCGTAAAAACATTTATTTTTTTTAAAGAGTGTTTCGCTTACCCAGCGACTGGCAAGTACAGTAGACTGATGATACATGACAGCTGGTCCTGCACGGAGCCCATAGTCAGCACGTGTTTGATCTCACCCTCCCCGTACTTGGAGACGGCAGTGTTGCACAGATAGTGGACAAACTTCAGGGCGTTGCTGTGGCAGTTCAAGGCTCGGCTGGCTTCACCCACAGGTTCCGTGGTATCTGCTGCTGGGGAGGGGGGGAGGGGGACAATAGATCATTAATGATGACGATGTTCATTACAATACTAATAATACTATTAATAATAAAACTAGTAATTTTTTTTTTTAATAGCAATAGTGTAGCACATATCCCTACTCAACAGCAAACGCTCCATGCACTTTACAATCTATACTACAGTGGAACTCGGATTCAACGAGAACTTGGATTCAACGAGATGAGATAGATTCCCAGTTTTTTTCTTCTTTAAAATCAATAAAAATAACCCGGATTCAAAGAGCACTTAAATCAGCGAGCTCGGATTCATCGAGCTCGCTTCTTCCAGTGTGAACAACCCCCGCAGACGTTGCTTCGCTCATTTTTCTCCCTGAACGAACTTTATCTATTCCCAGAAACCATCCATTGCACCTGCATCGTGAGCCATTATTCACTTAGCTGATTGCATGCGACCAATCAGCGGCCTTTTTCATACCAACACATGCGTTGTTGGCACGCGCACGTGTCTACTCTGGCGTGAGTCGGGGTCAGGTGGGTGGCCTGCACACGTGTGACTGTGTGTGCGTGTTGGGAGGGGGGGGCCACTTGCGGTCCGAGCATTGAATGTCACACATACTAACGCGTCACTGTCTTTTTTTTTCCCACAGTAACTGATCACTATTACAATGATTTAGCTAGTCTTGACATAGATCTACATAATGAATTGTGCGCTGGTCTATGGAATCAAAAGTTGTCGTATGCTAGGCTCTACATAACAACACAACTTTTTGGTAAGCAATCGAGATGACACAGGTGTGTGCATTTGAACGAATCGCTCCCTTTTATACACAGCTCATAATATGCTGGCATTTCAGGCATGACTTGTGACTTCTCTTTATACATTACTTGGTCAGTGTCTGTAATTATCTACACAAAACCTCTTGTTCGCTATTACGAACACTCGGATTCAACGAGATTTTAGGTCAGGCCCGGCGACCTCGTTGAATCCGAGTTCCACTGTACTATTACTATTAGCCCAGCAAACCTTAGAACATTCAAAAACATTCTCAGTTTCTAAGGAAGCATACATACAGTGCAAGCCTTTTTTAGGAGGGGGGGGGGGGAGGAGACAATAGATCATCAATGATGATAGTGTTAATAACAATACTAATGATACTATTAATAATAAAACTAGTAATTTTTAAAAATAAATAGCGATAGTGTAGCACATATGTGAGGCATTGCAGTGAAATCGGGCACTCGTCAAAATACAGAAATTGGAGAAACAGGCATTTTACCTAAATTTGGAAATTTTTATCGAAATTTTATTTTTGGGCTCAACCTCTTTTATGTCTATCTAATAAAAACACTGCTCAATGTGAAATTTACTGAAAAACATTGATTAAAGGCACAAAATATGTCAGTTTTCAGTTTTCAATGACTCTTTATCTATATGAGTTACATGTACTAAAGCTTGGCGGCCATTTTTTGCTATTTTTACCTTTGAAACCAAGCTATGCCCACCTCCTTCAATCGTAAATATTTTGAATTTATTCAAGATAGATGAATGTTTTTTATAAAAGAAAGCAAGGCAAATGAATAAGCTTTCAGGTGATATCAATAACTCCATACGCACAAGAACTGACGAGCGCCTGATTCCACCTCGACGTGACACATATCCTTACTCAACAGCAAGCGCTCCATGCACTTTACAATCTATGCTCTTACCCCAGCAAACCTTAGAACACTCAAAAACATTCTCAGTTTCTAAGGAAGCATACATACAGTGCAAGCCTTTTTCAGGAGAGAAAAAAACAAGCCATTTTTTCAAAAACAATGTGTACCTTCACTATGTTAATTATGTATCTTTTCTTGCTTTTGAAAATTTGAATTCCTCCCCAGATCTATTATTTTTTTTTACATTTCAAATTAGGACTTTCTATAGTTGAATAAAAGAGAGCTGATACTGTATCATCTTGACAAACAAATAAACAACATGAGAGTTTAAGGGAGTACAGTCAAAATTGACCCAGGCGGTAACCCACAGTCGAGGAGAAAAGTGGTTATTTTAGACGGGTGGGTATCTTTCTAGAACAGTGTCATTAAAAGAAATTTTTTTAAGGGGGGGGGGGGGGGGGGAAATGTCATTTGTAGTTTGTACAGGTGATTGTTTTCCACTGGTTGCCATTACAGCAGGTTCAACTGTAGTTTGTAGTTGTAAGAAATTAAACCGATTTTTACTATTTAACACCTAGAGCGGCATAGCACGGAGTCTATCGATTTGCACCTAGAGTGGTAGTGCACTGCGTTTCAATCGCTTCAATGGTGGTATACATTTCTATGAGGTCTTGAGAATAATGTCAGATTAGACTTAACTAATAACAAGGTTACAAAGGGAAAGAAGAATAGTTCTCATTTCTTAGATTTTTTTGAATGGTCGAAATTCACCCAAAAATAGCGATGTGTAAATTTTAAAGGTAAATAAGACGCAATGTAAGGTGCGATGGAGTTGGAACTTGGACAAATCCAAGGGAACTTTGAAAACACAAAAAAAATTCAGCTTGTGAAGTGATCTCGACCAAACAAAAACATGTTGAAAGTTTATTTTTTTGTTTTATCGCAAATGTCATAATTAAAAGTCACAAGAGGAGTTGGTTATTTTTAAATTTGATGAAAAAGATGGGTCCCGAATGAAACCCCACAGTCACCACTAAAATGAGAGAAATAAAAAACTTGCCCATACTGTACCGCAATGGAAACTGGCTTGTTAGAAGCAGTATGCTTTTCCTAATATAGTTGCGTCTTTTTCCCTCCATCATTTTGTAAAGAAAAGAGGGTTTTTTAAATCAATATTTTAAAACCACAGGAATAGTATTTTTAGTAGAGGTTTATCTCTCTTTTCCAGGATTTCAGGGCATGCATTGGGACAAATTCCCAGGAGTAAATTGATTTTAAAAAACATGGAAATGGTATCACTTCACTCTCAACGCACAAGTTCTCACAACACATAACAACAGTCTCACCTGAGCCGTCTCTGGCCGACTGGCTGTCCTCCGAGAGACTTGGCCGACCTCGGAACAGTGACCCAGCAGATGATGGAGACATAATCTTACTGTAAGCATCACCGCCAAACTCAAAGTCCATTTTTTTCCCGAAGTCCGAGGCTTGAGAACCGCTTACCTCATGAGTGTCGAGGCCCAGGAAGTGCAGGCCAACTCTCTGCCGCAAGCTGCGGTTATCTCCCGGCTCTCTCGAGAAAAACGAGCGAGGCAGAAGCCCGTCCCTTTCCAGAACGAGGTACTTGAACACCAAGCCAGGAGCCTGCATGAGGAGGAAGGAGTGAAAGCAGAGAGGGTGGCCCAGCAGGCGATGCAGGATTCTCACACACCTGGGCATGGGGTTGGGGGCAAAGCGCAGGTAACTCAAGAGGCAGCAAAAGACATCAGGCTCCACAAGGGCAATAGGGTAGGTTTTTACTGAGAGTCGAGACAAAAGGATCAAAATATTGGACTCTGTTATTCTGAGTATTTTTTGGACCCTTTCGCTGACTTGAACCATAGATCTCGTTCTAGCATCGCTGGTTTGAACTGCACTAGACCTGGACTCTGCCCTTGAGGAGGAAGAACCAGCAACGACAGGATTTCTCGAATCTTTCTTGTCACTTGCTGCAGCCCCGTTAACACTTTCCTCTGAAACTCTCTTTACCGCAGACACCTCTGACCTGCCACTGACGGTAGCCTGGTCCACAGCCTCTACATCGCCTGCCCTCACCTTTCCTTGCTCTCCTGTCTCGGTGAAGGCTTCTGACGACACTGTGGGCGACTCACTCGTCTTAACTCTCAATGGGTCTAGCTCTGGCTCATTGGGGTGTGGACTACTGAAAGGTTCTGGCATGGGCGAGCGGTACGGGCTGTTTGAATAAAATGGGGAGGAAGATCCGTGTCTGGAGAACGGAGATGTAGAAGCCAGAGAGGACATGGCTGACCGCACCCCCAGCTGCTTGGTGCTCGCCCCAGATTTTGAAGACACCGGTCTCTTCAATTTTCCTGGATATGATGACATGCGGTGGAACTGAACTCCACTAGATGTGGAAGCAACCTGCGACGTCTCAAACGAGAGAGACCTCGACAGTTCCAGTACACGAGACTGTGGATGATTTTTCAACTCCTGAGAACTATCTGCCTTCGCTGGCTGTCCTGAGGGCGGGGTTTCACTAACTGACATCATCACTTCCATTTGTTCTTGCGTGTCATCATCCCCACCAGTCAAAACATCAGTTCTTAAAGGATTAAATCCAAGACTTGGCTGACGATTGTTTCTGGCAACATCCTGCAGTTCACCAGAACCACCAACAACATTAGAAATCACACTCTCTTCCAGTCTCCTGCGTTTAGGACTGGTTTCCCCTAAGTAGACTTCAATAAAGGGTTTAGGAGAATTTGTTTCTGAGCCAATCTTTGAGTCATTCAGATTGTGCAGTGTGTCTGAATCTCTACATTTTTCTCCACAGCCAATCCGGCTCACATCTTCACTTGTCTCACAAGTGACTTCAAAACTGGAGGCACCAGCAACTGGAACCGAGTACCAAGCCTCACTTGCCTTTTCTCCTTCCTTCAGACTCGGTGGAATTCTGCTCATCTCGTCACTACTGAAAGCAGTGTTCTTCGGGCTTTGGCAAAAGGAGGAAGATGACATAGCTTCAACTGAAGGCCCCTCGTTCAAACTAAATACCTGTTGTGTTTTCTTAGTACCATCAGCGTTCTCATTCACCTTTGTATCATCTTCGTCTTCATCATCATCTTCTGAAGCTGAGTAGACTGGATTCTGCGCAGAAAGCTCTGATTCTTGCGACAGAGGCACGATGACAAACTGAGCACGTGAGGGACCCGCGCCATGCTGCGTGGACATCAGCTCTTGGGCCATCTGGTCCTCGAACACAGCCGTCTGGTGAGGACTGTTGGGGAACGTCACAGAGTCCACAACGCTGGACTGGCTCATCAGCGACATCTGGGAGTTGAACACAGGGCTGGGCGGTTCTCGACACTCTCTGTCTATGGAGCTTATGGATGACCTCACAGGGACCGGATTACCCTCGAGACTGATCTGGATGGTGCTATAACCGGCGTCCCCTGGAGAATTGGGACTCTGACTGACAAATTCCCGAAAGGGGCTGAAAACCGCTGCCTGATGGCCTGGGCTGGATATTGTCCAGTCCGGGCTGAACTGATCTACAGTAGACCGGGCTGGGCTGGAGGTAAACGACCGTGAGGGGGAGGACTGTGCGTAGGAAGGAGAGGACCGTGAGGGGGAGGACTGTGCGTAGGAAGGAGAGGACTGTGAGGGGGAGTAGTAGGACACATTGGCGCTGAGAGGGCTGTACGGGGAAGGGTAGCCCGCCCCCTCCTGGGCTGGGTGGGAAGAGGAGGGCTGAAGAAACGGTTGTTGCCCCACAGCACTGTGGTCAGAGGCAAAGTTCTTGCAGGTGACTCCCTGTGTGTAGTCCTCCAGTCTCCACGAGGTCTCCGACTGGTAGCTGGGGCTGTTGATGCTGAACACGTGACGGCTGGGACCTGGGCCAGGCTGCCCATGATCATGGTGGTCACTGTCAACAGTCTCCACCGCAACCTCCGCCCCATCATCCACCGCTCGGTCACTGTCAATGAGAAGAGGATCGCGGTCATTACGACTCAAGGAGCCTACCGGAACTTCCTCAAACTCTCTCATGGGCTGCTCTACATTATTGGCTACATTCTCATCACTTGAGAGTTTATCTTCATTTACAAGATCACTCACATCTGTGGTTTCACTTCTCGTTATCTCTTTAGCAACCTCACCTTCTACACAATTTTCAGAAACAGATCTGCTATCATCACAGCCTATCTCCGCATTCACAGCATCCTCATGGAGCTCATCAGCGGCACTGGAATTCTTACCATGCACCAACAGTTCCTCTGCTCCACATATTTCTCCTTCAACTTCATTAGTCATCGTCACTCCAGAAAGAGTTTTACATTCACTTTCCAAATCTCTCACCAAAGCCATAGCCAGATCTGCTGTCTGTTTTCTAAAGTCGTCTTCCTGAGCTTCGAACTGGCAGCATCGCTTCAAGTGGCTCAGGAGCACCCTCACCAGGCCCAGCTCCTGCAGGTGCAACAGGCAGTCGTCATTGTACAAAAAATTCACCAAGGAGCTGATGATCCGATCATACAGCACAGCAAACCGTCCCTCCGCCAAACTCTCCCCTTCCCCTTCCCCACCCCTGAGGGCAGATAGCATCACTTCCAAGCCCTCTGTGTCACGGATCTTCACTCGATTCACCGCTTCCTTCGAGCACAGACACAAGGCATTGAGAACCGCGACCACGTTGACACCCTGTGAGCCACCGTCTTCTGCCTTGTGGAGGAGTTTCACCATCAGGGCGATGAACCCGGCTGAGCCGAGCGCGGGTCTGATGATCTCGTGCTCACACAGCCTCAGCAGGAGGGACAGCGACAGACGGGACGTGTCCTGGTTCTCCTGGTCCTCCTTGTCCTCCGACAGATGCACCAGCTCTTCCAGGACATTTGCTGCCAGGATTTGACCTGTGAAGCCTGGACAACACCTGCCGCAAAAAAAACCGAGAAATTCGTTCATTCTCCAAATATTTGGAATACAGTCTAGCACACGTAGAGTAAAGTGGATGGGACCTGGGTATCTTTTTGTTATGTACAAAATTATTTATGTACGAGTATCAAATACAAAGAACATATAATATGTATAAAAGAAACATTTGCTACTTGAAAATCTGCTTTCGCATGTGCATGTTTACCAATTTGTGTGTTTGCTCTGTGAGTGCTAGACTATGATGTCTGCAATGTGTAGGAAAGCATATCACATCTGAAAAAAAACCCATCTATTTGATATTCAATGCATTGTTGTGCCAAGAGTGTAAATCCATGTTTTTCCAATTTAAAAAAAAGATTTTTAAATTAAAAGAAATTCTTTCTGTATAAAGTAAAACGCGGTTTTCAGAATTCAAACATGGCGACAAAATTCTTTTGATAAACTGTGAAATGTAGGTTTCAGTGTTCAAATTTATATGTACTAGCTGAGTACCCGGCTTTGCTTCGGGTCGACGCCTTGGCGTCACTGCTCTTACTGGTCTACGCCGCGGAGGCATTTTACATATCTACATTTATGTATAGCCTTTCATTCACACCTGGCTTCTAGATCTATATTGCTTTAGACAGATTACGTCTGCCCTGATTAACCCCTCTCTTTATCTACATTGCTGTAGTGTATTGCTGTCTAGTCCTTCACAATCACAAAATACAGGTTTCGCCTTACATCATCACAAAAAAGCACAAAGAAAATAATAATCTACGAAAGGGCTGCTACACTGTAAAAGGAACACACCGACGTCTTCAAAATCGCAGAGGCAGTGTCTATAGCTTGTTCACTTTCCTCTGACAACGTTAAAAAAACTTCTTGCTCATTGACAAATTTACATATGCCCACGAAACTTTGCATGGCACTTATATAGGGTAGCGATCAACCAAAATTCTTGACCGAGTAATAAAAAAGTTTTTTTTCTTTGGGCCCTATATTAAAAACAACTCTTTGGATGCATACACAGAATCACATCTCCACATTAGAGGTGAGTCTCGAAAATTACTCTCTTGAATCGTGTGTCTTAGATGAACATTAAAGAGCAGTATTGCACTTCCGTTGTGGAGAGCTACACAGATTTATTTCATTTCTCAGTACATTTGTAAAATAACCACAAAGGTCAAAGAAGGATGGGAACTTTGTGTCAAATATCTTTTTCTGAATTCAGGAAATGAAAAAATAAAAAATCGAGCTCCGTCATGGAGATCTATCTATCTTTTTGCAGGTACTTGCAAACTTTCAACTCTGTTGCTGTCGTAATTTTATGGGAAAAGTGACACAAGTGTTTCCAAGTGCACACACACGCAAGCATATAAAAAGCTTTGATCTAGTAACACAACTTACAATCATTTGCACACATACTACACACATACACACACACATACACACATACATACACACACACACACACACACACAATAACCGCACCATGTACCAACCAACTTCCACTCCAAACACGACTCACCTGAGAGCACTGAACTCTGCCAACATTCTCAAGCTCTTCAACACAATTTTCTTGTTGTCTCCCTTGATCAACCCAGCCACGGCTTGCACTGCCTGACTCTCCTCAACCAACCTCTTGACGTCATCCTTCGTCTGCCCCAACAGCCTGCAGAAAATACAGAAGTATACACGTGCATCAGTTGTTTCGATTGGGTCTTTAAAAAACGCCTATATGTATCGGGGGGGGGGGGGGGGGGGGCAAAACCCCCTATGTAAATGTAATTTATTTTTCTTAATCGTCGGCATGGATCAGTTTTTGTTCATCAAAATATCAACATGATGGTGATAACGTAATTAATCCACAAAAGCAAGGGGGGGGGGGGGGAGACAGAAATTTTAATATCAGAGCTGTAGAAACAAAATGTCGAGTTAAAAGCAGAAATATCCTTGATACATGAAGAGTATGTCATAACAGTCAGCCATGATGGGAAATGGGACTGCTAATAATAATAATAATAATAATAAAAGGGAGGAAAAAATAATAACAACAATAATCATCATCATCATCATCATCACCAGTACAATACAGTAGGCTACAAGATCTCTAAGCGATTTACAATACCTTCATATCAACCCAAAATGCATGTGCATAAACATGCACACATAAGCTCTCTAAATTAAGGGGAAAACGGACATTCATACTGTCACTGCACAATCGATGACAATATAAAATGGACATCACATTATGAACACAAGAGCGCTGTGAATAAGAATGATCCTAATATGAATCCTC